AGCCAGGGCCGCCTGTGCAGGTGCCAGGGAGCCAGGGGGCTGTGGAAGCAGCCCACCAGGGACTCCTATCTCGAGGCTCCTTGAGCCTGGGCCTGTCTCCCCCAGCCCTCCGACTGAGGAACAGGTCGAGAGGGCCAGCAAGGGAGCAACCGCAAGGTCCCCAACCGCAAGGTCCCCAACCTTCCTCCAAAGCAGGGCCTGCACCAGTTCTCCACTCATGCTGCAGGGCCCCCAGGGTCAGGGATGTCAGACGCTGTGTCCCCACTTGTCAACCACTCAGCTGATGGTCACCACGTCCTGGAGCCAGGCCCTGTGTTCAAGGGTGGAAGCCCTGGGCCCTGTGTGCCTGGAGCACTCCAGCAAACCCAGGAGTAAACCCACAACAACTGTGTCCACAGCAGTGGGAATCAAAGGAGTGGCAGGCCTCCCCAGGTGGGCCACCTCCCTCCCCTGCTGGGCTGGGGCCAGGCGCTTCCTGGAAGAAGAGGCCTCTCAGAGACCTGAAGCCTGAGAAGGGGTTTCTGGGTAGAAGGAATGCAGGTGCAGAGACCCATGTGTGGAGGAAAGGCCAGCAGACCTGTGGAACAGAAAGGTCACAGGCCAGGCCCGGGGACAGCCATGGAACTTCAAGGGGTAGAAACAGTGGCAGGAGTAGACTGGGCTGCAGGGCCAGTCCCTGAGGCCAGGAACCTGCTGGGCCAGCAAGAGCCCAAGGAGGCCTGGCCAAGCACTGGCTGTGGGGAGAGAAGGGGATAGCTGGTGCCTGGGGGCAGGAGGTGACCCCTCCACCTCTGGTGGTGGGAATTCTCCTGCTGAGAACTGAAGACAGGACAGAGTTACAGAGACAGGGGAAGGGGTCAGCACAGAGCCAAAGCAAGAGGACAAGAAGAATGGCTCTGTGGAGCCTTCTCACGCCAGCCTGGGAGCTGAGACCTGTCCCCAGCTGCCACCGGAACCTGACTCAGATCTCAGGTGCATCCAGGGACACACACACACACACACACACACACACACACACACACACACACAGAGGGATACACACATGTACGCCATGCACACACATATACACCACACCCACATTCATGCACATATACACAACCCACACGAATGAACCCACAGATACGCACACCATACACATTCACATACACACACCCACAGGAGCCCAGGTGGCCTCCTGGGGAAGAGCCTGGGAAGCCCTCCCCAGTAGGCCTCACGGAAGCCACAGGCCCCTGCCTTCCCCCATGTCAGTCCACCCTTGCTGCTCCTTTCACACTGTAGGCCCCACTGGGCCACAGTGGGGCTGGTGTGGGTGCTCTGGGGACCAGGAGGACCTGGCAGATGGAAGCTGTTCTGTCCCCACTAGCCCCAGGGAAGGGTTACTCTGCCTCCTTGCCCTGTTCCTTTCCCAAGCCTGCAAGCAGGGAGGCTGCCAGCCAGAAGGTTCTGCAAACAGGGAAGGACCTGGGACCCACTCTTTTGTCTCCCGGCTCCCCTGAGAGCTGCTGCAGAGCTGCTCCGGCCCATCCACCTCCCTTCCTTCCCACAGAGGCCCCTGCTCCCCACCCCCTACTTCCCAGCAGAAGGGCTGGGCCAGACCATGAGATAAGGACCTTGTTTTCTAAGGTCAGACCAGGGGGACTCCTGCTGTAGGGAGGGCAGTGATCCCTTTCCTTCTACCGGGGTCCTTGGGGTCCCAGACCCACAGGGACTTGCCACCCACCCTTTCAGGATGGCCCTGCCAGGCCTGAGCCCTGAGAGTTGGTCTCAACCTGGAGGCAGGGTTTGGGCTCCATCTCCCGTCCCTCTCCCTTCTCCAGCTGCTCTGGGGCCTTGGGCTTGCCAGCACCAGCCTGCCCAAGGCTTTGCCCATGCTGTTCCCTGCCCAAAGAACTGCCTCCTCCTTCTCCTGGTGAATGCCCTGCTCTGTCCTCAAACTGGACCGAGTCGCTGCTCCCTCCAGGAGGCCTGCTCTAGGGCCAAGACTAGGTCTCCCCAGCTGCTCCCTCCCAGCACCCCTCTACCCCAGGGGCCTGAGCAGGGCAGGCTGTGTCTGCTCTCCTCAAATCTCCAGGCCTGGCTTGGAGGAGGCCTGGTGGGCGGCTGACGGATGAGCCTGCTCTTCACCCTGGGGGCAGAGGGGGCTCCCCAGCTGGTGTGGCCTCTGCTCAGGAGACAGACAACACCCGAGGCCTGTGCCCTGGGGAGGGGAGCTGCTGAGCGGGAGGGGCCCTGTCCTCCCTGTGAGGGAAGGTCACCCATGGTCTGAGCTGAGTCAGGGTGCACCCCCCAACAGCAGCACCTAGCCCCAGAGCCTTGGGCTTCTAGACCATGAGCATTATCAGTAAAGACAGTCTCAGAGTCACAACAACACTAGAATGAACACTCCTGACATAAAGCTTCCCATGAGCTGGCACAAGGGCCATGGCTAGACATACACAGTCACTGACACCCACAGGAGCCCATTTCTCAGCTGAGAAAAGGGAAGCATGACTTGTTCCAGGTCCCACAGCTGGCAGACGAGTTGGTGTTTAGATATTTGTTTGTTGCAGTGCTGGAGACAGAACCCAGGGCTCACGTGTACTAGGCAAATGCTCTACTTCTGAGCTGCACGCCAGACCTGAGTGAAGGATTTGATCTTCACACACGGTCAGACAGCCACTGGTATCCTTCAGCACTACCCTGCCTCTGTGGAGCCACCTGTCCCCCAGGGCAGGGGTGTGTGGAAGAGGGTTTTTTCCTAGACATTGCATTGGCAATCACCCATTATGCCTGGTGAGGTCGTATGCCCGGACCCAGTACCACCCTTGTGTTCCCTGCTTGGCACCTACCTAGATGTACTTGGCACACAGTAGGCGCTCAGTAAATCTATATGGAAAACAGTAAACCAGAAGAAGCTATTTGTGTGTGTGTGTGTGTGTGTGTGTGTGTGTGGTGCTGGGGATTGAACCCAGGACCTTGTGCATATGAGGCAAGTACTCTACCAACTGAGCTATGTCCCCGGCCCATGAGGCTTCCATTTAGGGGCAACATAACACTAAGCTGCAGAGCTGTCCTCTGGAGACAGGTGATCCCTGGATCCCAGCAATTGACCTCAGTGACTTTAGACATGTTCCTTAGCCTCTGGAGTCTCAGTGTCCACATCTGTTAAACGGGGACAAGTGTTTCCCAGAGCTGTTGGGAGGTTTGACTGAGTTAAATCCCTAGTGTCTGCAGCGGTGCAGGCCCACTGCGACAGCCACAGGAGCAGCCCATTCTTTTGGTCTCCTCTGCGACGGACGGCGAACCACAACTCCCAGCATGCAACGGGGCCCTCCCGGGCTCGCCGCGAGCAGCGTGGACTACAACTCCCAGCGTGCCCAGCGGCCTGTCCGGCCAGGGTCAGCCAGCCTGGTGAGGTCGTATGCCCGGACCCAGCAGTCTGGACGCCGAGCTAGCCGGCCCGCTTCTGCTAGACGGCCTCCCCGGGAGGAGAGAGGGCAGCCACTCCGCCGGGCTGGGAGACGGGCGCTGCCCCCGCCATGCTCTCCAGACTGGCCCGGGCCGCGGCCCTGAGGCTCGGGGCGCCCTGCGCACGATGGTTGGGAAACCGGGCGGGGGTCCCAGCCCACGTGGTGGACCTGCGTAGCGACACGGTGACCAGGCCCGGGCCGGCCATGAGGCGCGCCATGGCCGAGGCGGTCGTGGGGGACGACGACTACGGCGAGGACCCCACCGTCCGCGGTGAGCCGGGCATGCAGGCCCGCGGCGGGGGTCGTCTCTGGATGACCCCAGGGCGCTGTCCATGGTGCTTGGCGGGGAGGGCGTCCAGGACTGGGCGCTCAGCTGACATTCAGACCGAGCATTGCGCGCTCTGAGAGCTTGTTGGCCCATCCCCTCGGCCCGTTTTGGAAATGCGGGTCCCACACTGGGCCTGCTAAACTAGAATCTGCATTTTAATAGGTAACACAGTGACTTGTTTGCACAGTGCATTGTCACCCTGCTGCCATCTCTAGTCAATGGTAGAACCGGTGTTTGAATCCAGTTCTTTTTCTTCTTCTTCTTTTTTTTTTTTTTTTTGTTTGCAGTACTGGGGATTGAACCCCCGGGATCTTTGCCACTGAGCTATGTCCCCAGCCCCTTTTATTTCTTATTTTAAGATAGGTCTAAGTTGCCCAGGCTGGCCTCAAACTTGCAATCCTCCTGCCTCAGCCTCCCAAGTCGTTAGGATTACAGGTGTATGCCACCATGCCTGGCTTGAATATAGTTCTTCTGACTCTAAAATCCATAACCACTCTCCTGCACCCTCTGCTGCCTCCATGAGGACAAGCAAAACCAATCTGGAAAGGGGGGTTTTCCATAGGCTACACCTCCCTAGGATTGGGATCTAATAATCCAAAGGGTGGTTTAAGGATATAGGGGCCCACAACCCATCCTGAGCTGATAGTTGTTTTATAGTGAACCACTGCATTGGTTCTGCTGGGCTGGGTATAGCCCTTCACTGGGCCAGGAACTAGTCACCAGTTAAACTCCCAGGGCTTGTGTGTAGGGTCACTGGGTAATTGGGACTGGTCATGCATGGGCAGACACCTGCTGTTACCAGGAGTTTCAAAGATTCGAGGCACTGCTGAGCTCAGCAGGCAGCCTGCTGTGTAAACCAGTCACCACATCAGAGCCAGGGAGGTGCTGTGTTGACAGCAGCCTGTGAAGCATTCCTTGGGAGCCAGGGGTTAGGGGCAAGTGCATGGTTCACAGGGAAGGGGGACTTTCCAGAGGTGCTCCTTAAGGATGGCACCTGTGCCCCAGGCAGGGAAGGGAATTCTGATTCCCAGGCACAGGGCTTCAGAAGCACATGCACACTTTTTTTTTTTTTGCAATGGGGCAGAGGTCTTGAATGTCATGCCAAGGGCTTTGGACCTGATGCCACAGTCAGAGAACCAGCATGGGCTTTAGAGCAGGAGCCCCACATTGTCCTCCAGCTGAACCCTTTGTTCTCCCTCCAGCTCCCTAGAGCTCCCCGCCTAGGGGTAGAGGAAGTCAGCAGAGAAACCACAGGGCCCCACCTGCTGGAACTGATGGGAAAGGAAGCAAGACAGGTGTGAGGTTGGGGTGGAACACAGGGTTCAAACCACAAGAGAGTTTCAGTGGCCTGGTGGGGGGAACCATGGCTGATGAGGAGGTGAGGTGCCGTGGGTTGACTCAGGAGCCTCCAGACCCAGCTGTGTGGTTACCCAGGCCACAGACTGTGCAGCTGGTAGACTGGAGCTCCAGCCACGCCCACTTGGCCACTCACCTTGGCCTCGGGCAAAGGGGCTCACATCTGAACAAAAGTACTTTGAACTGTGCCTGTGCAGCCAGCCTGACTTCTCGGTGGTAACTGTTGACAGTTTTCCTTGCCCCACCCTCCCCTTCCTCCTCAGAGCTGCAGGAAAAGGCTGCCCAGCTGCTGGGGGTGGAGCAGACTCTGTTCGTGCCCACCAATACCATGGCCAACCTCATCTGTGGTGAGTCTGACTCCCAGGTCCTCCATGTACCCACTGCCCCTCTGTATCCAGGGCTGTGACGTTCATGAACAACTTTCCTGGATTTTTGCTGGGTGCAACATTGGGGTGTCCTGGCGGAGGAGGGGAGCAGAAGAGACTGAGGTGGGCTGACCCCTGTTCCTCCCCTGTTTCTCATCCCAGGGTGCTCTGGCCCCACAGTTCCTGTAACCACACCATCCTCACCCCTTAGGCTGTCCTGTGGTACCCCTCCACTTACCTCACCTAGTAAGCACCCCTCCCGGTTCCCTGTGTGCATGTGCCCTCAGTTTGTTGACAGGGCCTGGTGGCTGCTAGTGCCCTGAGCTGCCAGTCTCCAAGGAACAACAGAGTGGCCAGCTTCTCCCTGCAGGGGAGGTTCTGCAGGTGGGGTCATGGACGTGTGGCCCGGCATTCACAGCGTCCCATCCCCAAGCTGTTTATCCCGCCCATGGCAGTAAGGTGTCTCAAAGGGGTGCTGTTTCCTAATTGGCATATGCTGTGGCCCTGGGGCTCAGCCCAGATGAAGCACATGGGCACCCTAGGACTCAGAGCCAAGTCCTACCCTCCTTCCGTTTGTCTCAGTGATGGGCCACTGCCGGCGCCGGGGCTCCCAGCTCCTCCTTGGGCAGGAGTGCCATCTCCACGTCTATGAGCAGGGCGGGGTGGCTCAGGTAAGGACCAGGCACCACTCCCCTGGGGCCCGGACATCCTCTAGCCAGTACAAGTGGCCTAGGTGCTGCTTCCCAGGCACCTGGCTGGAACCTGCAGAGAAAAGGGGAGAGCCTGACAGAAGCTGCGGGAAGGTGGGAGGGAGAACCAGGTCTCAGCTCTGCAGGTAGGGGCAGAAGCGGCTGCCTGCCTGGTGCTTGGTGCCCTGCTGCCCCCTAGTGAGCACTTGGAACACTGGCACTCCAGGAAGGAGCCAGAGGAAACAGGGAGACATCTCAAATGAAAAAGGGCCAGGGGCCTACACACCCTCCTCACTTGGGATGCTGTGTCTGGATGCACAGAGCAAGGGAAAGTCCTTGAAACCCTGAGATGGGAAGGAGCAGGCACAGATTGGGGTCTGGCTCCCTATTCCAGAGGACCCCTCCCATCCACCAGGAGTACAGCTGGACCCCTGGACCTGCCTGATCCTTCACCCCTTTCCTCACCTACAGATTGCTGGGGTGCACTCTCACTTGCTCCCAGACCTGCCCCATGGGACCCTGGACCTGGATGAGCTGGAGAGGGTGCTCACTCGGGGCCTTGGGAACCCGTATCACCCAGTCTGTGAGCTTGTATGCCTAGAGAACACACATAGCAGCTCAGGGGGCCGGGTCCTCCCTATCGACTACCTCCGCCAGGTAGGCTCTGCCCCGCCACTTCCCCCACTACCAGCCTGCTCCTGGCTTCCTGTGTCTTTTGAACCCCTATCTGACATGTCACAGGTACCTGTTAGTGCACACCTGTTAGTGGGCAGGCTATCATGGGGGAACATGTGTCGGCCCTAGGCTAAAGATGCAAAGGGGATTACTGTCCAGTTTAGGGGCCCTGGTCCCTGCACTTGTGTGCACATGTAGGTATCAACATATGTGCACACACACTCACTCTGCTGAGAGCCAAGTTCCAAAGCAGCATTGAGGACAGCTGCCCTGGCCCGGGAACACGCTCCTAGTGAGGCTGGGGAGTGAGCAGGTGTTGGGTGCGCCTCCAACTTCCCCTGGTCCTTAGCAATAGCAAGGGGGCCAGGAGGCTGCCGCAGCTGAGTTCTCCTCCCCAAGTGACTGCGCGGGCACGCCACCTACCTCTATGTCCTGCACTCCTTGGGGCCTCCTGCTGCTGTCATGCAGCTTAACCAACATGAGACGTTATGTCCTTGGCCCTTGGCAAGTGCTCCATAAAGAAGAGTTGAGTGGGTTCAGTCCCCAGTACTGCAGGAAGCTGGCACACCCACGGCCCTGGGTTCCATCCCGGGCACCAAAACCACTCAAGTTAAAGCACCACCGAGGCTCAGGCAGCACAGCGGAACCACTCAGGTGGTTCCAGACCCCTCAATTCTTCAAGAGCCATACCCAGGGGCCTCCTAGAGACCTGCCCTATCACCTGTCCCATTAACCTCTGCCTGCACTTCACCCAGGTACACCTCTTGGCCCAGTCCCATGGGGCCCGTGTCCACCTGGACGGAGCTCGACTGATGAATGCAGCTGTGGCTCTGCGTGTCCCCCCCGCCCGCATTGTGGAGCATTGTGACTCTGTGTCCTTCTGTCTCTCCAAGGTGGGGAAGCCCCTGGGCTGGTCTTCCAGACAGATGGGGTGGGGGTGCCTTGCAGAGGGAGCTGAGTTTCCCTGAGCTCCTGACCTGCAGCTGGTCCTGTACTCCAGATGCTGCATTGCCCCTGCCTACCGATGGGTCAATAGGAGGCTCCTCTCTTCCCACAGGGCCTGGGTGCACCAGTGGGGGCCCTGGTCGGGGGGCCCAAGGACTTCATCCAAGAAGCGTGGCGCCTCCGTAAAGCCCTGGGTGGGGGCATGCGCCAAGCCGGGGTGCTCGCCGCGGCCGCCCTCGTGGGACTGGCTGAGGCGGAGGAAGAGCTGCCGAGGGACCACGAGAACGCACGGAGGTTTGCCAGAGGTGCTCGGTGCCCCCCTTTGACTCCTTCCAACCTGTGGGGGGATTTCCTGCAGCAGGCCCAAGCCCCCAGCAGGTCTGCACCCCCCTAGCCTCCAGGATACTGATTTTGCCACTGAGTATCTAGGGTGGGACCCAGGCCAAGTCGCCTCACCAGCCCTGCTCCACGCGGCACCTGATGCTAGGAAGCGCTCGGTGGAGACGGGATCATGGTTCTCTGCAGAATCACAGAGTGGCCTCTAACTCGGGTCTTTCCTCCATTAACTGAGCCCTCATGGTGACCCACTTCAGCAATAAGGAAATAGGCCCAGAGGCCCACTGATCTAAGGTCACATGAGTAAACAGGTCCCTGTGATCCCCAAGGCCATGTCAGGACTGGTGCTCTTCTGTGGCAGCTGCTTGCCCCTCCGCCTTCCCCAGCTGACTGGGGGGTAGGGCTGTGGCAGGGTCCTGGGGTGGGGCTTTTCTCACGGTGGGACCTGGCACAGGACTCCAGGCCTTGGCATCGCCCCACTGCTCTGTGGATCCTGCTGCTGTGGAGACCAACATGGTGCTGGTGAAGGTGGCCGGGCTGCCCGCTGCGGACCTGTGCCAGCGCCTGCAGGCTGTGAGCCCGGACGAGGTGGCCCAGACAGGCCATGCTGTGCGCGTGCTGCTGTTTCCCTGGACAGAGCAGTCTGTGCGTGCCGTGTGGCACCGTGACGTCTCCACCCAGGACACTGAGCTGGCACTGAGGAAGTGGGAGTTTGTGCTGAGGCAATTGGGGCCCTGAGGATGGGCCCCTGGGCCCTGGGCCCGGCTGGGACTGATGTGGGGCGTGGAAGGGCCCCGAGCCTCTGGCAGAGAAGTACAGGCCAGTCTCTGGGGGAAGGTGACTCCACCCAGAGCCTCCGGTTTTCTCAGTGATGTCCCCACTCAGTCAGAGACAACCAGGCAAGGGATGGGACAAGATGTGACTGAAAATCAAGAGAAAAACACAGACAAAAGAAACAGACACAGGATCACAATAAAGGACTTGTTATACACAGGCTTTAAAATAAAATATTTTTTTTTTTTTTTAAAGAGAGTGAGAGAGAAGGACAGAGAGAGAGAATTTTTAACATTTATTTATTTTTTCTTAGTTCTCGGCGGACACAATATCTTTGTTGGTATATGGTGCTGCTGAGGATCGAACCCGGGCCGCACGCATGCTAGGCGAGCGCGCTACCGCTTGAGCCACCTCCCCAGCCCCTAAAATAAAATATTTAAGAAAGGCAAAAGCATAAAGTTTGACAGACAATTTGAAATCATAAGACTACATGGAAACTCTAAAACTGAAAAATATAATAACTCAGCCGGGCATGATGGCGCAGGCCTGGAATCCCAGCAACATGGGAGGCTGAGGCAGGAAGATTGCAAGTTTGAGGCCAGCCTCAGGAACTTAGCGAGACCTGTCTCAAAATAAAAAAATAAGAAGATAAAAAGGGCTGGGGATGTGGGTCAGTGGTTAAGCATCCCTGGGTTCACTCCCTGAAAGGAAAAAAAAAAAAAAAAGTCAGTGGATAGGTTGGATAGCAGATAAGACATAGCTCAAGAGAGACGCATGGAAGAGAAAGAAAGAACAGGAAAAAATCTATCTGCATGAACAGACCCAAAAGTCATTCTGTGAAGAGTAATCAAATCAAAAACCCTGGTAAAACTGACCAAGAACGAGAGGGGGAAGCACAGAGTTTTTGACAATATAAAAAGGATAAAATTTAAATTTCTTGTATTATACCCAAGAATGACTACCACTAATATTTGTGCATGTTTCACTCTGGGATCTGTGTGTGTGTGTGTTGAGAGAAGGGAGATCTGTGGTTGGCTTCCCATCACTAACAGTTACCTGAGGTCATCAACTTATCAGGGGAAGAGGTTTATTTTGGTGCCCAGTTTTGCACTTAGTTCCTGACTGTCTGCACCTATGGCAACAGAAGCTTTTACTACCTGGATCTTGGGGGACACCTGAGACTCAAACTGTAACATTACAAACTGTAACATTCCTCTTAGCAGGAACCCAGGAGGAGACTTGCTTTGGAAAGATCAAGTAGTGATGTTGGCTTCAGAGTGCCAGTTTGCTGTTCAGATGCCAAACATACAGCTTACCAGCTGATCACAAAGTGAATTTTTTTTGTAAATTATGTTAAGGTTTATTCTTAATAGTCTACCACCAAAAAAAGGTATGAAATAGGTACCAAATGTGATCTGCTTAAATAATTTGGACAGCCTTTTCAAAATTATATATTTAAAGAAAAAAAATTAACTGGTCACCAAATTCTAGCACCATGTTGAAATGGAAATAGCGACCTGGAAGGCCATTCTCTAGGGAATGTTTTCACAGAGAAAAACAGTGGGGTGGGTTTCTCAAAACCACCTTCAAATGATCCCTTCCCTAGAGTCAGTACTTTTATTTTAAAGTTGTCTTAGTCCATTCAGGCTGCTATAACAAAATGCCATAAACTGGTGGCTTATAAATATAAATCTATTCCTTAAAATTCTGAAGGCTAGAAAGTTCAAGATAAAGGTGCCAGAAATTCAGTGTAGGGGTGTTTTTAGGACTGGTGTTCTTTGCAGGTTCTTTGTGGGAAAATGCCCCAGAAAATAGATCCTGGGCTATGAGATTGAAGCCTCGACTACACTGTGTGTTGCTTATTGCTCTGAAGGATCGTCCTTGGGCAGCTGATTTAGAAAGTGCTGCACCCAGGAGTTCATGAGTGCCACAGGCCGGCTGGCTGGGCAAAATAACCAGGGGGGTGACGAACAACTTGCGTACCTTGATACAGCAGGAGTAGGAGCCCTTTATTGTAGGGCAACAGAGCTATTTATACATTTTGCACAGCTTATCTTAATTAGCATAAACTAGATACAGCAGTCAACCAATAAGGAATCTCCACACTTAATGGCTCGCTTTTGTTACTTCTCAAACCACTCCCTCTGGCATTTTGCCAGGCACCATCCAGACTTTTTTATGAACTCTTCCCCTGGCAAAATACCAGGTGTTATTTTGACTTGTTTACAGACCTTAACATTTCCCCCTTTTTGTTTAATTTAAATAAAGACCATAGTGGTTTTTACAGAAACACCATAAATAACCTGTTACAATACCAAGCCAATTGATGGCTCCATGCAAGAAGCCCTTGGAAATATTATACCAGCAATAACATCGTTAGCAAAGATACTGAGTTACAATTTGTTGTAGATTACAGTTTGTTGTCTCAGTCCAGATAAAGCAGTGTCTCAATAGATTAACTCACAGTCCAGGTAAATCACAGTCCAGGTAAGTTCTGCAGGCAGCTAGCTTAAATCACAGTCCAGGTAAGTTCTCCAGGCAGCTAGCTTAAATCACAGTCCAGGTAAGTTCTGCAGGCAGCTAGCTTAATCACAGTCCAGGTAAGTTCTGCAGGCAGCTAGCTTGATCCGAAGTCTCGTTCGGTTCTCAGCCGAAGCCTCCTCCAGTTTTCAGGTTTTCAGCAACACTGGAAATTCTTCCACTTTCGTTTTCACCGGCACTGGGACAAGGCAGGAACTCCGGATGGCTAAAGAAAATCTTGTGGCATTCCACTAAGAAAACAACCTTCTGAACAATTTAGTCTATTATCTCAAGGTTTTTTACATTTGAAATAAGCCTTAATAGTGCTCATTACTCATTAGCTTCCAGGTGTGGGAGAGCCATTGTAGCTTAGTTATTGGCATTGAAAACGACCAAACATCAGGAACACTGGTAGCGTCTTCTGCTGGCTGTAGCATCCTGGGCAGCCCCAGATGGCCCTGGGGAGAGTCCGGGAGTGTCTGGACTCAAATTGCTACTGGACACAGGGAGCAAGAGCCTGCGAGACTGTGCCTTCGGGTCAGGTCCAGATTTGGGCTCCTGGCAGTGGAAGAGCCGGGTGCCGCCGCTTGGAAAGTATTTGCTGAGCTGTGACCTGCTCCCGCATGTGGCAGCCGCGGCAACAATTCACTCACCCTCCGGTAACGAAAAGTATTCAGTAATAGCCTTTTGCTGCAACTTTTTTTTTTT